CTGTCAGGCACAAAGACTCGTACAGTCACAGAGTCAGGATGCCGGTGTTGCCACGAAGGCATTGGGTTTGTCCAAGCACGTCATGCAGCCGAGCTCCTAATGTGCACGATCGCACGCACGCGTGCGCGTGAACGTGCGTGTGTATAAGTGCGCACACGCGTTTATGTGCACGCACGGGTGTACGTGCACGCACGCGTGTACGTGCGCTCATGCGTGTATATGCGCGCATGCGTGTATATGCGTGTACGTGCGCGCATGCGTGTACGTGCACGCATGCGTGTATGTGCGCGCACGCGTGTACGTGCACGCATGCGTGTATGTGCGCGCACGCGTGTACGTGCACGCATGCGTGTATGTGCGCGCACGCGTGTACGTACACGCACGCGTTTATGTGCGCGCATGCGTGTACGGGCGCACATGCATGTGCGTGCGCACATGCGTGTACGTGCACGCACGCGTGTATGTGCGCGCACGCGTGTACGTGCACGTACGCGTGTATGTGCGCACATGCGTGTACGTGCACGCACGCGTGTATGTGCGCGCATGCGTGTACGTGCGCGCATGTGTGTACGCGTGTACGTGCGGGCATGCGTGTATGTGCGCGCATGCGTGTACGTGCACGCACGCGTGTATGTGTGCGCACGCGTGCGGTCATGTGCATCTGTGTACGGCAGATACGTACACTCACGTACACCTGTTGTACACGCGTGCGCGAACGTACACGCGCACGTGCACAGGAGGAGGAGGTCGGCATCACGATCATGGACAACCATGGACAACCAATGGGAAACCCATCCAGTAATACACTGCCCTCGTCGCATACCAACTATGTGACTGTGCACGAGTCTTTGCGCCTCATTAATTTATACACGCAATAATGCCTATATCCATTGCCCCACGCGTACGCTCGCGGTCGACGCTGACCGATCGATCGAGTTGGCCAACTCGCAGTCGTCAGTGTAAACGCGCTGCGCAGTTCATAAAACAATTGATAGAGCGTTGGGAAGTTGGTCCAATTCGCCAATTCGCCAACACACAGTTGGCAGTGTAAACCCAGCTTAAAGCTGCGCAACGTATGATTCACATAATATGTATTACATTGTACATGTTGATCATAATGTTGCCAGAGAAGATGCCGAAGTCCAATTCAACACATTTCGTCTGCCGTGAGCTTATCTTCGTTTCGGACCACTAGAAGCAATGAGAACCGATTACAATTTCCCCATTCAGATAACACCAAAATGTATAGTTATACAGACCTTTAGTAATTGCCCCTAACAGCATAGATACCATTTTCCTTTTCAATCTATACAGTGCTATGAACCAATTCTTCACGATTCAGACCTATATTTAATCAGTGCGTGCTGGCGAATGTTGTTACTTGCATGAAGACAAAGTCTTATGAATTAGGTGCGTTACGCTACACGAGTACTCCAGATATAGGTCTTCTAGGTAATTGCCAAGATTGATAGGCCTGCTGGAGTCACGCTGGTTGCGACGTAATTACCTGGGAACCAAGATCTATGTGCCAGAGCTGGCTCATAGTCAAAGGCGTAGCGCTGCGCGGTATGATTTCTCTGCGTAAGGAAATCTCGTTATAATGATCATACACAATGATATACAGATATACAATACAGGTACACACGATTTCGTCGCCTCTATTTATATTTATTTATTCATTTTTTTAGTAGCTAGTTTCTTTCGCCCATCTAACATCCGTAAGGGCACGCCAAAGACCCTATAGTACCTAAATAGGGTCTTTGGTGACGGACTGGAATGAATTAGGCTGGTGAATAAGTATCGAGACGGCATGGCATATAGTTTCTACAACACTATAATACTACATTGGCCGCTCGTGATTGACGTCTGCAATAGCGACTTAACTGCACATCGCGTACAACTGATCGAGCACTATGAAAAAGGCGGCAAGAGGCAGATAGACCACTATCGTGAAGGAGGGAGGAGAAAGAGGCGCGGGCAGAAAAAGTCCAATGGTGAGAAGGAAAGAACTGCGGGCAGATAAATCCACGAAAGAATCAAACGAGACCTTACCCCGAACTGGAGCAGCTAGCTGGACAGTTAACTTACCCAGTGTTGCCCGTCGTAAATAGATCGTGATCAGTCAGCACCCCAGTATCGAGTTCATGTCCAATTTCGAAGTCGTTCTCGATGTTTAACGACGTGATTGGACGGGCTTGAAGCAGGTAGATCTGGCCATCTTTAACGGCAAACTCTATATCTCGTGCGTCCGAGAATGACTTTTCAACCTGCAGCCAAAGAACGTGTTACTACAATGCTTACCGTAATGCATATGTTCTGTGTATAGTTTCCTAAGATTAGATTTTATTGCGCTATTGTATAAGTATAGGTAGAGAGGCGTTGAGGCTTGATACATGGCTAGCGCAATGTGGCATGTTTGTATTCTAACGCAGGTCTAATGTAGACGGGAGAAAGCTATTAACATATATATAGCGTGGTGACACAGCCATGAAAACGGACCATAATCTAAAACACATATTAAAACCAAGGGTTCTGGTGGGTTCTAGCTTAAGTGACCGAGATCAGGAATGTCATGTTGGGAGGGGTGTATCATGTGTTCTGGGAGGGGTAGTAGAAGGGTACCGTTCACTTGGGTGTCATAATCAACCATCGTGCTGCTGAGAGGCACTCGTTTGGTTGTTTAAAATTTGATCGCATCTACAAATGGAATCGCATCCGAATAACTTAATAAATCAGGAACTGTGGAAGTATTACACGATGTTTGGAATCTATTCCGAATCATTTTCACATGGTTTAGGAACTTATGCGAAACAAGATTTTATTGAGAAACTGAATATATTTGCAGCGATATATGTGATCAATGTTAGCAAATGCGTCGCTCGCGAGGAGAGCACTCACCAGAATACCGATTTCACCGAGCTGAAGAATCAACTCATCTGACAAGCTGGATTTCTGGCCGTCATCCGCTCCAACAGTTTCGTCTACTGTCCCTCCAACGGACGAGGCTGTACGAAATAGAGTTTGCGTTCGATTGTGCTATAATTGTATACATAGGCTTCTCGAAAATTTTACCTAAAATGCGTACTATACTGATAATGTAAATCACGGGAAATGAGTTGTGCGTATAACAGCAACATTAAGTAAAATAATCTCTATCCAAGAAGAAGCTTAAACGTTTCTAATAGTTATTTCTAACATATACTGCCATTGTGCATATATAATCAAGTATGGAGTGAAAATGTTGTTGTAACGTGGTTGTTCTTACTTGGGTTGTTACTTAGGTTGCAATTGTTACTTACACATATACTCTACACAGGTGTAAACATACCTGATACTCGTGTTTCCTTGCGTCCAATACATTTTTCTTTGATACTGATTTTGTTGTAAAACGTTCTGTTGAGCGTGAATGTATCAGGCTCGGAAATACCAGATACCACTCCCTATAAAATATGAAAACGGGCAAACAATTTTAATTCCTTTAGAGTATAGCTTAAACGCCAGTTTTATCGTCGCTTTACTGTTACTACTTTATGGAAATGTTTTGAGTAAAGAAACAAACGCTGGTATAGTGTAGTATGTTTATATAACCAACATGTTCTGCTAGCATCTGTGACAAATACGACATACGCATATACGCTCTCCTATGACACTATTTGTCATAGGAAGATTCTTCCTATGACAAATATTGGCGAGTCAACTTCGTGTCGCTTTACAGCTGAAATTCGCTGCTTGAGTTCATAATAGCGCTCCTAAACTCCTATGATGCGCACAATACATACAATATATTTGTCATAGGAAGAATATTTCTATGACAAATAGTGTCATAGGAGAGCGTATATGCGCATGTCGTATTTGTTATAGATGCTAGCAGAACAGGCTGATATAACGATGCTTTTAGCAGATGAATGTGTTTATTTCATGCGTGTACCTCTCCAAGCCCATACGTGACGTTGATGGACATCGAACCAGGTGAACCACTGATGGAATCGTGGGTGAACAAGACACCGGCTGCATCTGGCAACACCATCTCCTGAACTACAACGGCTATATCGATATCGAGCGGCTGACCATTCTCCCTACACACGTAGAAATCGCATGATCGTGTTATGTACGTATTGAATTTGAACGGTTTCCTTGTACATTTTATGTTCCGAATTTTGGAGCTAATATTCTATTTGCGGTCATGGTCATTATTACATATATGGAACATAACAGCAATGGAGGCTAACTACCAGTCATCAACTATCGTCAGTTAACTATGGTGTAGGGGCTGCTTCGCATATATTTTTTATTGTTTATATAATATATTATATATATAGGCCCTATATATAATATGTATTAGTCTATACTATATATATATAGTATATAGCGCCCTTATATTACACGCGTGTTGCACGCGATGCGAGCGCTCGTGCACGCAGTGTTTGTGCTGATGCTGGAGGTGTGTGTGCGTGCGTGCGTGCGTGCCGTGTCGTCATGCGTGCGTGCGTGTGTGTGTACGTGTGTACGTGCGTGCGTCCGTGCGCGTGTGTGGGTGTGAGTGTGAGTCTACGAAGAAATATAATCTTATAAGTAAAAGGACCTTATTTTTATATTATTATTATTATTATTATTATTACACTAATACGCATACCGTGCATGGTATACGAAATTATTTGTGAAAATACACCTGCCTTCGATACTGCACTGCATTGTAGCTGTATAGAGATGCCCAGCACTTGATGACAGCGTCACAGATCTGAGAATAGAGAAATTGTTACATGACGGCGTTACAATTATTATTACGATGGTATAAAATCTTTTAGTGTGAAAACTGTCACACATAGGCCTACCATCGTTTATAATTCCAGATATCGTATATAACATGATCCATATAAACGGGTACGCCGTTATCCAACGTATAAATTTTGACTTATTACAGATTATAATTATTATTACACATATCCGTCTTCTTCTTAAATATAGACGCATTGGAGCATCACTAGACAAAATGCATAATATTAAGCGAAGTTGCACAATTTTTTTTTCGTTAATGTATAATTAAACAAATATGGCACAAGTGAATTTTAAATATATATCTTAAATATAGACGCGCCTGTGCCTAAAATATGTGCCTGATTGACGGGGATGTCTACTGCACTGCGTCACGTATATACTTCCCACTTTTAGCGAGATTGAGAAGACCGCCGCGTATCGTGTGATAAGCTCACGCAGCAATAAAACAACCGGTTGTTATCGGAAAAGAGCTTGTATGATCAGCATTGTATCAGGAGTACGTAACAGATATATCTATTATATCGTTCTTCTGATCGTGTGCATGCTGAATGTGGTTATATATTTTCAACCCGCGTGGTCCCCAAATCCAGTAGTGCAAACCCTCTACGAATTGTAAGCTGTGTATATTTATACACTTCATCCTAACTTTAACGAATCAATCCGGGGGTTGGAGTGTCGGTTTATTCCAATTTCCAGTTATTTCTAATGCGGACAGATATATCTGAAGCAGCGGATTTTT